GAAAACATCTTCGCACGACTTTCCAATTAATTCTCTAGCGACTTTGTCCCAACACAGCAGTTGTACAATGCCATTGTCGTCCACAATTGAAATATGGAGCTTGTACCTTAAAATTTAAAAATAATATATTATTATATCATATAAATATGAACGATAATAATGAAATGTGAAATACAATTACCTAAGTATCGCAAAAGGAATCGAGTCCTTGCAATATTTGCACCAAAATTTATCTTCTTTCGGCTCCACTTTCTGAACACAATTGGGGCACGATTTGAAGTACCAATTGTCCGATACGTCAATGATGTTTCCATATATCCAAAAATTCTTTTCCTGAAAATAATAAATAAGTAATCTAACATATAAGTGATTGATAACTAATTAATAAAATCGTAGATGTAACAATTACTTTTATAGTAATAGTAATTATTTAGTAATATCATTTTTACCTCATTAGCTTTCAAAAAATCAGCTAAGCCTATGAATGGAGAAATTCCCGACTCCAAATCATCACGAACATTAGAAATGTAGGGCCTCACGTATTTGAATGATGAATCGCTTGGCCTTGGGTGGGAGTTGTACCTTTAATTAAACAAATAAATTTAGAAAAAGTAAATATTAGTAATTCATTGATCAAGTCTATGATAATGATATAAGAAAGTATATAAAATAGCCATATTTATCAATACCTCTCTTTGATTCCACAATTTCGGGTACATCACCCATGATTAGCTTGGTAGCATAAAAAATGTTACCAGCTTTTATAGATCCTAAAAGAGAACAATTTTTTTAGAGAACAACATAAATTATAAGTTATTAAAAAAAAATAATTCAATGTTAATAACGTACCATCATCAAAAGATTTCGCTCGACAAAATTGCACAATTATTACACGCAAGTCAGTCACGGGATCTTTGTTCAAAGCATCAACAATGACTTGCACATATTCTTCCCATAATGTGCAAGTCAAAAAGCAGCCCCTACAAAATAATAGATAGTTATTTTTTAATATGGAACAAATTTGTAATTACTTAAGAAAAAACAAAGTGCTTATAGGATCTATAACTTACTCAACATCTTCTAGAACCACGTCTATGAATTTCTTTTCCGCTCCATTTGAATTTGTAGTTCGTACGCTTTGAACCAAAGCGATACGTCCAATCAAATCTAAAAAATTAAACAATTAAAAAATATAATTTAAACTTATACATTGTAAAGAGAAATAATACTTAAATCCATGAAGAGAAAAAAAATTACCAAAAATTTTATTTGAATCGATTGTTTGAGGGTCGGATAGTTCTTTGAAGTCTTTGAAGTTGAAGAAAAACCTTGGGTAGTTGTTTTCAACCACCTCGTACATTTTCGTAGCTTGACCAAGCTCGAACTTGTGGTTTGATTCGCTTAACTTGAATGTACTTTTGTCCTCCTTTAGTTCCCAACTTGTAATGACATACACACTACCTTCTATAAGGTTAAATTCCTTGAATTTTTTTGCCAAGAATCCGGGTGCAGAACCATGAATCCGTTGACCCTAAAAAAAATTGTATTGTTAGCAAATTATTATTTTGACACATAAAGCTCAACTACAATAAAAAAAAAAAGCGTCAAAAAGGATAAATATCTTAACATCATGAAATATAAATTGTAACTCTCTAATGGTATCTTTGGTGGACTTGTAGAACTTGGGGAAATATCTCACCAACCTTAGCTTTGCAGCCATTTTTTTTTTGTTTTTTGCCAAATAAGTTAAATTGTCAAAATGGGAAATCATGATGTTTGTTGGGATTGTGAAGCTTGAAAAATAAAATTTTTGGCTGCTGCGTATTGCTGTTTTGAGTTGTATGAAGTGAGGTGAGTGTTTTGGAAAATGAGTGGCCTATTTATATAGGATTTATTTGGGAAAAAGCAATCAATATAAAATTAATTTGATTGATAATTACAATTAAAATTCCTGAATGAGAATAATGAGATTTGCAAAAATTATGGGATATTTAATATTTCAGTTTTATTTCACTTATGAGATGATTATAATAGGATTTAACCTGTCAAATTAATATACTAATTTTTTTATGATTGTGATATTTGGTCAATAATATTAAACATTTAATATTTATTTTTTATTAGAGTTAAGATAAGAGAAAAAATATGGGTAATTGATTCTTTGACCAAAAATCATTTAATTTTGAATTATTTCTGGAGTTATGAGATTAGCAAAATGTATGGGACATTTAATATTTAATCTTTATTATAGTTGTGAGATGAGGATCAAAATATGGGATGTTGATTCTTGGAATTTTCACTAAGAATTATAACAGTATTATTTAGAAATTCGGATTCCTTTTTTTTTTTTTAACTTTAAGAAATATTTTGTATCTCAACATTTAGAAATTCGGATTCAATTATAATTAATTATTTTGGCTGACCTTTTGTTTTGTTATTTTTTCAGGAATGGAGAGGAGATGGACAATCTTAATTTTTTTTTTCAAATTTATTTTTTTAGTTGGTTGTAATTTATTTAACTTTTTTATTTGTTTTTATTAATTTCGTTTAAATTTCTATGCATAGCAAAATTAATTGCGATTAAAAATATGCTTTCTTAAAACAGTCAAGTCTCATCCAAAACAGTCAACACTATTAATATGATTAAAAAATATGGAAACATCATTAACTTGTTATCATTTCATAATTAATTAGTTACCTTTCTTAAAACAGTCAACTATCATCCAAAAATGTTCTGTTTTTAATAAAGAAAAAAAATTGCACAGTAACATAAAAAGGCGGGAAACTGCCACGTAGGTAAAATTAATTAGGTTTTCTTTAATGCACAACAACTAGTAATTATATATATATAGATTTTAGATACTTTTAAATATTATTTGTATCAATTTTTTTACACATTTGCTCTCTCTCTCTCTCTCTCTCTCTCTATATATATATATATATATATATATATATATATATTTGCATATATGGAGGTTAAATTAAGAATTTTTAGACATATTTTCCTTACGGGTAGTTTAAAAAAATTTAGGTAGCTTCAAACATTATTTGTGAATAATATAGAATATTTTAGATGCTTTTATAGATGTTATAAAATATTTTAAGTATTTTTAATATTTATATATCACACTCAAAAGAATATTTTGCCAAAAAACATTAAATACACAATTTTTTCAAAACAAATCTCATAAAATCGGTGAAGTCAAAATTTGTACGTAAAGTCTATCTATACTAGAAAAAAGTAGATTCAAAATTCTTTATCTAATTTCTTATTTTCCTTATCTAATTCCTTCTTATTATCTAATTGTATATAAATCTGTTCTGATTTTGTTCAAGTATTTGCATTATATCCCATAAAATTGGTTTAACAAAAAAATTCGATAAGATAAAAATGGTACATAAAATCTTACTAAAATAAAAAAGGCTTTATTTATTATCTAATTTATTATCTAATTGTATGAAAATCTGTTTTGATTTTATAGTACGTACTACAAATTGTGCACCCGTGTTCATGAGCTATTTAACGGGCAAGCTCTGTGGAAATAACTCATTTAGTGCTTCTGTCCCGTGCATACGGTATGTATTTGTATTACACATACTAGAAAATTGTGCACCCCGTGCATCGCACGGACTCTGTACTAATAAATGACCTTAAAATTGTGCACCCCGTGCATCACCTGTGTTCACATTTTGTCCCATTACAGGTCACGTACTATATATATCCTATATATTTTTCTTTATTCATTTATATAATTATAAGATTTGATAAATGACCTTAATTTTGTGCACCCCGTGCATCGCACGGGATCTATACTAGTTAAGGTGTAACAGTTTAACATATTAGTGAGTAATTGATTAAAAAAATGTAACTCTTTTTAGAAGAAAATGAAAATAAGTTTTATTAAATGTTTTATTAAATACATTAGCTAGTAATTATAT